GAAAAAAACATCGGTACTGCACTCCAGAACACTTGACGCCGATTCCGAAATAAGGTGACTATCTTCCACGGCTATGCTTCAATACATGGTTACTATATGGTGTTAGACACACACGCACACACACACACACACACACACACACACACACACACACACACACACACACACACACACACACACACACACACACACACACATGCTTGAAACAAGTACCATCTTTTTCACTTAGCAGAAGAAAGTAATTAATCGCAATTGCCAAGTAAGTATTTCGGGTCTCATTTAACAATATCACAAATATTGTATTCTTGATGAAGCCGCAACGTATTTGCGACTCCTTTTTTCATCATGAACTATACAACACGCTGCTAAAACTGCACAGCAAGCGAAGCGCGCTTTCTTGCAATGCACTTACGGAGTGCTCACTCACTACTGGTATGCTGATGCTCCGATTAGCTTTGATGCGCGGCAGCACCGTGTGTGCTGGCATCCCGCGGAGCATGGCCTTAGAGTTACTGTACATGCTCTAAAGGTAGCATATACAGTAACTCTAAGTGGCCATGGTGCCCCGTGCTCACACCAAGAGTGCACGAAACTGTACACGACTGAAGTTTACGCCAAGATATATGACGAGTTACACAATACACATCAATGACCAGCATACCCACTACAAGAAAAGTCATCGTTCATTAGGTGTCACTGAGGACCAAGACTTCACCAGAAGCAATCATGCCAATATAAATTGAATTAATAAAAATGGCTGATATTCCAAATCTGTAGTAATTGGACGATGTTCCCAAGTCAGAGAATATGTTGGGAGCTTCTGTACCAGAAACAATCCGGTAGTTTACAATTCGAAGCAAGAGTGACCTAACGCAAAGCAGTATTCAAGCAGAAAACACAAAACACTAATAGAACAAAATACACAATTCAGTAAATATGATAGTGGGCCTATAGCACATCACATGGAAGACGAGAAATTGCAGGCAAAAAAACAAACAAAGAAAACAACATATCAATCTTCTTATTCAAAAACACTGAAGATCAAAAAGTATTTCTAAAAATGTACAGTAAGCGATCTGATTATTCTGCTCGAAGCAAGTACATCTTTATTTCTACTTTATATTAACGCAAGTACTTCGCAGTTCTCGTAAAAGTGGAAAAATGTTCCATATCGAAGTAGAAGTGAACTGTACGTAGTTTGCTTTTCCCCACATACTGAGGCGTCTTGAAAAAAGAAAGCTATTAATTAACGATATAACAATAATTTGGCAGAAGAATAAATTATCAGGCTGGATGGTAGAAATGCTTTGTGTGGCAGTTCATTTCTCACAAATCTTTAGAATTAACCACCCACGATAAATTTATTGTGTTCCAAGATGGGTAGTGATGTTTCGCATTGGAAAAGCATGAACAGCAGGCAGTTATTTTTATGCCTTGATTTTATTGAAAAGTTCAGGCATGGGCACGAATAACGTAATCGGCATTTCCCAATATTTTTTACTATTACCCACATAAGAGGGAACAAAATAAGAATAACGTGGCTGTCATGTTATACGTGAAAAGTAAGGACATGTTTTAGATCCATATACCATAAGCCTTTTTCGTTTAATCACGAAATGTTTGTTAGCGAAAGGAAGGAACTTGGAGCATTTCTATCTGTGGGATGCCGTGTCGACGTATGCATGAATCCCAAGATACAGAAAAAACAAACATAGTGCATGTTTGTTCAACTATGGCAGCAGCATCGCGTGAGCATTCTGGCACTGTGCTCTTCAAGGTAAGGGAGCAAAATGACGCTCTTCCAAACTTCGCAGCCTAGTTTTGCAGTCACTGCCAATGACGTAGGTCTCTGGTGACGCTGTGGTGGCGCTGCGACTTATTCCATATGAATGCAGCGTGCGTCGTGTGACGCCGGTCCGAATGATAGAAAAGTGGAGGCTGCGCAGAATGGTGCGCAGATTATGCCGTCACATAAGTTCCACCCCCCACCCCCACCCCCTGTGGAGTGGAGAGCAATGGTGGCTTCTAGCAGTCGTAGGTTATACGTGACGTCGAGAGCGTGTAGTGAGAGTAGCAGGCTCTGATGCAAGGATTGTAAATGAGTGTGTGAGGGTGCGCTCGCGTTGTGTGGCTTTAATTCAAATTTTCACATTCAATTTCAATTCGATTTTCTTCTCATATATACAGTACTTTTGTGCAATGAACTGTTGCGCCAGTAGCCAAAGACTAGTGCAGGCCCATAGTCAATGTACATATAGCAGCTACAACGTCATATGCATATCTAATACTGAGGAACAAAATCTTAATGGTGAACAAAATACATAAACTACACATCAAACCTAAACAAGTAGTGCATTTTACACTAACTCCAAAAAAATATTTAGTGACAGTGCTACATACGTCAGAAGTAAATTACGAAAGATCAAAGAACTTTGGGAGGTGCTATGTTTCATAGCTGACGTGAAATGATAAGCCATTTTTACTTCAAGGGGTACTACGTCAAAAATTTTGTGGCTGTCAGAACCGATGTATGCTACCTCAAGCTGGTAAATCAAAACATGAGCGTTGTTCGTGTTCACGCACACGACGAAGTTTTTGTAGTGAGGAACATACAAGTAGGGTCCAGGGTGGCTGAAGAGGCCTGCAGATAGTGTTGTTTCGGAGGAAAGCGTGCGTTAATGTTGCTCATCAGGGCACCATAAAGCGCATTTTGTTTGGGTAATACTGACATATGCACTTGAACGTGAGTGCTGACGTCAGGTCACACAATAAGGTATACCGTTTAATACACCAGTGCTGTCGACGTACCGGATAAGACCACGACGTAGGCTCAGCTACTACACTTTCAAATACACATTGATTCACCTCTTATTGTAATTACACATGGCATGGAAATCGCCGAATTTTTCCTGTGAACAAAATATTTTTGATATTTCAAACTGTACTCAGGGAGAATGCAAACTAAAATAAAAAGAAACTTAGAAGAGAAGAGGGCTGCTAAAAGAGCTAGGAGGATATGATGTTAAGCTTTGCTGATGGTGAGAAACTGCAGCAATTTAGGAGTTGTTGCATCAATATACACCATATTGTAACGGCCACTGAACACACAAAAGCGAAATACACTTTAACACAGGTTCAATCTGGCAGTCATTGCCACCAGCCTCACTGTTCTCAGTACACCTCGTCTGCCTCATTCTCTGTCCTCCAGCTTTCCTCTGATAGTATCCCACTACCCGTCAGTTTACCTCATAACATCTACCCACCAGGGAGGAGGAAGGAGGTTGAACAAGGGGAGAGGGTGTGAGGTACAATTGCTTCTTGAGGGCAGTTTTACTTACGTTCTTGACCAATGTGCAGTCCATGGTGCTGCACTAAACGCAGTGGTCGGTCTTTGCGATGATGAACTGTCTTCATTTTCAAGACACAGGCCGTTGTGGAAAACTTGCACGGGGTGATAAAAAAAGCTGTTTTCGACAACAGTGAGCTTGGGGAGAATCTTGTGCCGCACGGTACGTGACTTCAACTCCCGGATCACGAACAACGCACTGTCTCTTTGCGCTTCTTTTTTAATGTTGTTCTTCGAAGTGCGAACCTGGTCCTCGTAACTTGTCTCTTGGCTCGGTGGTCTCTCCACGATTATTTTACTTGTCACCACCTGTTGAAGAGCTGGTTCCTGCTTGATGTTGTTCAGCTTACGATGATAGTGACGTATGTCTTGCGCCTCTTTACCGTGCCCAGATATTCTAACGTTAGACGCAGAGGTCTCATAGCCGCCTGTCTTCGGTGATTCCCGGTAAGCTGTTTGAAGTGAGCGAAATAGTGGCGTCGGCTGTTGCTATGATTTCCATGGTTGACGCCGTAGCTTAGATCACAGGTTCTTTGATGCGTCTTGCACAGTCATTGTGGTTGGTCCCTGCAGTGATGGAAAGTCACAAAAAGTGAACTCCAGGCTCTGGAAATGTCCTTCAGCAAAGTCATGAAATTTTCTTTTTTTTCTTTCTTCGGTGTTGGCATCGTGCTTCTCCGCTTGTGCCACTCGCATTCACCAGATTCTCTGAACTGCTGCTCTCAACAAAGCTGAGAGGTGCCATTTCACATACGGCCATCTCCTACGTTTTCTTCACCTCGTTGCACTAGTTTCGACATCATCCTCCGCATGCGTCCTTCTCAACAATACACACACCACCGACACAGCACATCGGTTCATCATGGCGCACGCTTGGCTTATTCTTGAAACAAACGTGGCTTTGTTCGTGAGCAATCACACGTTGGTCTCTGACGTCCTGAGTGCCCACTACTACAACTGAGTGGGGAACAAGAGCAGTATACTTCCTTCTATAGGTCAAGTCAAAGCGCACCTGTTCTATCAAGGCCTATACATTGCCAAGATATCCTCAAGCGCGTCCCTCGACCAGTCGTCCTTCGGGCATTTGATGCTGTTGAATCCCACCGCTACCATCAAATCTAACAGCAATTAAACACACAAAAGCGAAATACACTTTAACACGGCTTTGATCTCGCAGCAATTGCCACCAGCCTCACTGTTGATGATGATGATGATCATTCCACAGCCATGGCTCGCACCCACTCAGGGGATTGGCCAAGAATCGATGACCTAATTAAGTGAGGCTACTTTTCTATATTCCCTCACTGTTCTGAAAACACGTCGTCTTCCTCGTTCTTGGTCCTCCAGCTTTCCTCTGCTAGTATCCCACTACCCGACAGTTTACCCCATAACATCTGTCTGCCAGGGCCAAAGAAACCCAGCAAAGGAGAGCATGCAAACAAGTGTGCACAAACCCCAAGAGTCCGATGACATGGAAATGGCCCACACTTCTGCACCTGTACACACCCAGACATGCGTGTGGTATATGTATATAAAATATGTATACTCATATGTTATAATGTTCTACTACTGTAATATCACTTTTTTTACACTTTCAAAAGAGGCGGGGGAAAAATTGAGGGGGTCAGCCGAAAGAATTACATTCTCCACCACCCTAGTGAAGCACCCCGAGCGCATTCTTCTGTGATCTTTTGGCTTGCTCCTCGGCAATCTGCTGCTCGATCAGATACTGGGCCGTCGAGACTGCGTTTGGTGTGCCCGTGATGCTGACGATGTGGTTGCACGCGCACGACGCAAACGTGTCCTTCTTGGCGATCTCGATAACGGCGCCACTGAAGCGCTGGATCTCAACCAGTGACTTTCCCCCAGGTCCCAAGATGACCCCCACAATGTTCTCCCCCACCTCGAGCTCTTGCTTGACGGTGTCGGAGCACTCTTCGGCCACTGAGGGCAGCGGCGGTGACTTGCACATGGCCCCTTGCGACGGCACCAGCGCCGTGCCCAGCCCGAACGAGTTGTTGTTTACGGGCATGCCCCCACCTGCGCCGTTGTTGGCCGTCTCGCCCGGTGACCCTACTGCCGGCAAGTTCCACTTGAACGGGTCAAACACCATGTCGCTGTGGTAGCGCTCTGAGCGGGGCGAGCCGAAGCTGCCGCTGCCGACGGGACCGAACATGCCCGAGCTGCTGGCGACCACCGGTGGCGTGGTGTCTATCGGCGAAGTCGAGTACACTTGTTGCAGTGGTGGCGGCTGCGGCGGGCCCTGTCCTATCATGACCAAATTGGCACCTGCCAGGAGCGCACCGAGGCTAGGGCCCAGCATGCCGTACGTAGCCAGTGTGCCCATGGCCGTCGCGATGTCGGCTGTCGCCTGCTCCGTGTAGCCATTACTCCGCAGCACTGCCTTGACGTTCTCCAGCAGCTGGGCCACGTCGGCGCCCGGAAAAGCAGCCGGCACCGCGGCTCCTCCGAAGTTCGCCGTTATGCTTAGGCTGTTGAGGCTTGCGCTCGAGCTGTAGCTGGCCGATGAGTTGTTCACGGTGGAGTGCACGCTTGCCGGGTTAGCGTACGGTGATCCTGTCGGGTTGAAATTGGCCACGGGCCCAGTCACCTCTGCGTAAGAGACATGGAGGCAGCTGCCACTATGCGGGTCCTCCACAATTTTGGCCAAGATGAGCTGGCACGCCTTCTTGTTGTTGTCCATCTCGCCAATCACGGTGATGCAGCGCTCCGCGAGAATGTTGTCCTTGGACTTCTGGGAGATCTGCACATAGGCGCCACTTTCCTCCTTGATCTGCTTAATGTAGCGGCCACCTTTGCCAATGATCATGCCTGCCGTGCTGTTGGGTACCAAGATCTTCACCTGCTTTTCCCTCTCAGCTGGCTGCTTGTGGTCAAAGTCAATCGCAATCTTGGCTGTGGGGTCTGGCTTCTCCTTAATTTTCTCCATGATAAATTCATGGATGCGTAGAACGCCCTCGACACTCCCAGTGATTAGGCACACCCTTTCAGTAGTTCCTGGGTAGAAGTCGTTTGACTTGGACATTTTCACCCGGGCTCCCACTTTCTTTTGGAGCAGTGCAATGGTCTCACCACCTTTGCCGATGATGGCTCCGGCAGCCACAGCGGGTACGAGAATCTTGAAGTGGAATGTCCCATTGCCTTCTGGACGAAGAGGCGTACGATGCGGAAACGGTTGACCTTGCTGTAGCTGGTACCGAGGGGGAAGTCCGCTGTCGCACATACCGTGGGCCGCCCGGCGCGGAGCCATAGAAGAAGCCATCTCACCACTGCCACCAAATGTAACGGCCAATAAACAAAATCGAAAGGCACTTAAAAGGTTTTCACCTGGAAGCCATTACCACGAGCCTCGCTTTCCTTTTCTTTGCTTTGCTATCCTAGATACATGGCATGTACCCACTTTGGAGGATTGATCAAGAATGCAACGTAGAGACTGTTAAATGTTATTTTAGGTAAGGTATGATATTTAAAACCAAAAATAAAGAAATGAATTGGCAATTCAACTTATAAAATTCAACTTCACTACAAGTAATATGCTTTTGAGCCTGTATTCTAGACTGCCATAATAATCTGACGGGAATAATTTTGAAAACTTAAGCTTTAACCTAACGAAATGACGAAGAATTTGAAATACCAGATTAAAAAGGCACTCGTTCAGTATTTATATTGAAATTTCACATGGCACTCATCGAGTATTTATAATAAAATTGCACATGGCACCTCGTATTCCTCGATCTCTGTCCTCCAGCTTACCTCTGCTAGTATCCCACCACCCGTCAGTTTACCCCATAACAATATTGATAACTATAAGAAGGAAACAAAAAAAAGAACTTCATTTTGGTCCTGAAAACCACGACTGACGTCAGATTTTTTGGAACACAAAGGGGTGTTTTGATTGATTGCATTGAATATTTGATTGATAAGTGTGGTTTAACGTCCCAAAACCACCACATGATTTTCAGAGACGCCATAGTGGTAGACACCGGAAATTTCGCCCACCTGAGATTCTTTGACGTGAACCGAAATCCGAGAACACCGGACTAAAACACTTTCGCCTCCATCTAAAATGCAGCCGTTGCAGCCGAGATTCAATCCCGTGATCTGTGGGTCAGCAGCCGAGTACCTTAGTCATTAGACCATCGTGGCGGGGCAAAAAGAAAGCATGTTTTAGGCACCGAAAATAGGCAGGTAGATTGACGTTTGAGGCGTCCAAAATCGTACTTATGGGCACAATAAATTTTCACATAACCACATGTTATTTCAAACAAAAAATCACGTGAGCTCTATCTGTGAAGTCACAGTATCGGCTTCAGGCCGAATCAATGAATGCAAAGCATTATATTGAATGGTTTTTTTGAAGTAAGGCTAAAAAGTTTGGTAACATATGAAATGTGAACACGGTCGAATATGCTTTGAGCAGCAGCGTTTCCCACACGCGCGGTGGCACGTCCTTCCTTTGTCTGGCACGCATGTGAGCCTGCCTTGCTTCAGTGCGACTAGCATTCTGTTGGAGCGGAAAAGCATCTGCAGTTGCTTGTAAAACGCGATGTGGCATAACATAGGCTGAACTACACACAGCGTTTTCACTGGCGTTCCTTGGTGTCAGTCGACGTCGACAATACCGGTAACGGCAGGGGAAAGTACATTTCTATTGCACTTCACCAAAACCTCCAACTCCGATTTTCCCAGACATTGCATGCAGTGTGGGCGTCGACGCTGGAAGGAGCTAGATGGTGGGAGAAGCATGCTTGCTTGCTTGCTTGTTCCTTGATATGTGGCTTCCGCCCACCACTTGGGCTTGGCTATGAAACCAGGGTTCGGTGGGCTGATCACTTTCCTTCGAAATATTTCAGTTTGCTTTGTTTATACATAAACGCACGTATACAAGCGCATGCACGAAAATACATAAAATATGGTTGAACCCTGACTCACCAAATCTTCCGCAAAACATTTCCGCCTACGCTACTGTTGATTGACTGATATGCGGTGTTTAACGTCCCAAAACCACCATATGATTATGAGAGACGCCGTAGTGGAGGGCTTCAGGAATTTCGACCACCAAGTGTTCTTCAACGTGCACCGAAATCTGAGCACACGGGACTACAACATTTCCGCTTCCATCAGAAATGCAGCCGCCGCAGCCGGGATTCGATTCCGCGACCTGCTGGTCAGCAGCCGAGTACCTTAGCCACAAGACCAAAGCGATTGATTTGTGGGGTTTAACGTCCCAAAACCACCATTGAAAGACCAAAGCGATGAGGCCAGCTACGCTACTGTGATGAACGCCTTACAAAGCAAATTGTAAGCAAAACCCGCGGAAGTTAAGTTTCCGTTATATTTTTTGTTTTGTTTTTCACTCTCTTTTCCACGGACAGCACTATGAGGTCTGGCATTCAACTGGCATTCGCCAACCTCTCATCCCATGTCAGTGCGGCGGCCAATGCGCACCAGCGAGTCCCACTTCATTGCGGCTAGCGGTTGTTTCTGGAAGTTTCGTAAAATGGAAGACCAGGTTGAACACCACAGTTCAGAATCATCAATGTTGTGAGGTAACATGAATAATGAGCTCAAACTGCCTCTCGCAGCAAACAATTTAGGCTTAATATTGTTCATATTAGCACGAATGTTGAAAGTAGGCCTTTATAGCAGTTATAAGCACTTAGACGCTAACACCAAGAATAGGCATTTATAGACACTTAAAAACACTATAAATGCTATTCACTTCTTATTCATGCTCATATTCAAAATGGCACAATAGCAGCGTAAGGAGCAGAATAGGCATTTGCCTTAAATTCGGTCTCTATTGATAACACTCCACCATAAAATATTATTTCAATCGGCAGTTCAGTTATTAACAAGAGTTTATATATCTTTCTAAATATGTTGCTATCATCAACCTATTAGGTTCATTGGGTAGAAGAGGAACCATTAGGTAAATCTTTAATAGAGCCTTGAGGCACACCATTGGGAATAGCTTTTTGTACCATGTGAACTTTAGAACTAAAACTAACTTGAACTCAGTAATACAAGTAATTTTAATATCGTGACAGGATAAATGCCAATGGCTTTGTGCTTAAAGAATTTGATATTATTGTTATTAAATGCTTTTAATTACTACGCAAACAAGTAGTTGCGAAAAATTTTTCGTCCATCACTTTTGTTAGTTCGTGAGTAAGGTAGATGAGTGCCAGCTCTATGGAATATAAAGAGGGAAAATCAGACTGGAGATAAAGAGTATAATACGTAGGAAGATATTTTTTAGCTACAGCTCAATAAGTTGCTCATTAACATTGCGCGATTGAAAATAAAGCTCTCGTTTAATGTCTACGTGTTAAAATTAATCGTTGGAAAAAGATTTTGGCTTTGAGTGGACTTTAAATTAGCGTTATATAGCGTTTGTGTTGGATCTCTGAGCTATAGCTTTTCCCTGCTTTCTAAACTTGCAAAGCAAATTGATCACTTCCGAGTGGGCATGCACAGATACTCCGCGTTTGTCTGGGCCTAGTGCCAAGCGCTTTAGTAGAAGAAAGAGAAATATCTTGACTCGAGACTGCCCGAACACGTTTACACCTGCAGGGTGCATATTCTGCACATTCCACGACGAGAATCAAGCCATCTTGCGTAATTACCAGAACGACTACAAGCGTCGTTTGCCACTGTAGTCAGTACTCATAATTTTTTCCTACTATTGGGCTTTACCCTCTCGGCACGTTCTCGAACATTTTCGTCATGCTTTTATCAATCTGAATAGGCCTTTTCCGTCCAAGAAATGAGAAAAAATAGTGTGCTTTTTCTAACTTGGAATTGAAACAAGCAGCTTCAAATCGTTTGCATACTTTTGGTCGAATATACATCTGCACGGATGGCTCTATGTCTCACATGAGCTTCACATGTCCAGCGCTCATCCTATTATCCACATAAACCTCAGTTACAAGATTTGTTGCTTGACAACACTGACTGATTCGGAGCTTGTGGCGCTCTGGCGTGCCGACCATTATATTAACCAATCGCCAGCTATTCAAAGGACAGCATGTGGTGGCTTGAATACGGCAGTAAATTTTTTGTACGACCATATTCAATGTCCACAAATCTTGTTTGTAGGGCTTTATCGACTATGGCTGTGACTCAACAATAAAGCAAGGTGCTGCGCAATATGATATCAAAGTAGGGGCCAGCCCCTTGGTTCAGCCATTATCGATTGCAATTCTTCGGACCCATCGTTGTGAATACGGCTGCTTCTTGGTCTTTCCAGAAGAATGGAACTACGAGTACACTGCAGTGCCGCTAAGTATAGCGCTCACAAATACAAATTAAATTGAAATTAAAATGAGCTATTGTTCAAAGGGCAATGGCTGCATTGCCGAGAACACATTTTAAGAACACCTGTGTTATTACCGTTTTTTGAAAATAAATGCTTCACTTCCGTACACTCTGTCTGTATCCCGTAAACCGGCATGCTTTCACTTTGACAATTCCACAGAAGCGCGTGTCACAGCTGCGATTAACAATGATAATGCAGCTACAATTCCTTAAGGCTGACGCACTGGTTGGACATTTTTAATGTCAAGCATGAAACTTCTACTACGTTGGCGGCAACAAAGAGAGAGAGAAATAGACAGAGTGTTTATCCAGAGAAAGACCATGGTTTCCTACCTAATAATAAGGAACCTGAAGAAGAGAGGGGGGTAGAATGAAAAAGAAGAAGAGTCTGTGACAGTATCCAAAAAAAAGAAATAGCAGAAACGAGCACCATCCGAGCACTACACAACCAACATTTTCTGCGAACAGTCACAGTTTGTCGTTCAGTCTCGTTGCTTGCAGAAAGCGTAACAACGCCCTCAGAGCACCTCGTCTTGCAGACCGGGTAGGCAAGCACCTCAGAATTTTGTTTTCTGTGCGGGGGGGGGGGGGGGGGTCTAGGTGGTGTAGTGCGGATGAGAGGGTTGCTCTTTCGCAAATGAAGCATGTGCAGTCAAAGAAAACAGTGTGCGTCTGTTTCGCTGCATCTGCTATGTACATTACAGGCTGTCAGCCATTGCAATCAAAAATAAATAGGATTTTGAGAACGCCACTCAAAGTCACAGACGGGCCAACAAGGTATTGTAACGTCGTGATAGACGTGGCGACGTATACGTAGCTGGAGGCCAGGGTTCAAACTATTAAACCATGCACTTGTTGATGCTGGTGAAACACAGAAGTTGAAGTTGAATGTTAGACTACGGATTAGCACACGAAGTTCTTTTGCGGCATCGGATCTTGAAAGCAGAATGGTGACACTAATGACACCGCCGGGATCGCGCAGCTGCATCGGCTTGGGCGCAACAACAGTGGCATTTCTCATGCCATCTGCAACTTTTCCGCGT